AGCTGTTATGGCTTTTGAGTGTGCCAGATATCAAGTTGACTTCATCGCAGGTGATGGGAACAAGGCATGCTATTACAGCACACCAAAATCTCCAGGTGTCCCTACATACCAACACAGCCTTATCCAATTCTGGATCAACAGAATGGTAGGTGTTGCAACACAAGCCATGCGCAAGTATTTTGATTCATCTTGCCCTCCAATCAGGGTCAAGCATTTCATTTCTTGCAGTTATCGTGACTTGGATTTTCTTGCAACGCACTTGGATGGCATTACAACAGCAACATACACCGACGAGCTCATGAACAAGACAAATGGTAAAGGTGATTGTTGTATGTTAACAGTTGTTGAGTGGGGTCATTCACGTTTGATGTGTGAGGAACACCCAGAAGACTTTGAGGATGAAGATCACATGAACTATGTGGGTGAATTTTACTTCAAGGTAAATGAAACTTGCTTACATGGTGATCACAACATCTTCATGGTTGCTCCAAATGATCGCGATGCTCATAATCCAATTCTTATCCATCTTGATCCTTCTGATATGTCATGGAATGAACGACATCATTACAAACAGGCCTACAAGAAGAAGCAGTATGCTGATTCAAGAAAGGAAAGACAGAAGGAGAAAAAGAGAAAGGCATATGAAGATCAAGCATCGACGTATCAGGGCAACACAGAGTGGGGTGGATCCTCATCTTCTTCGTCCAGACCATGGAGATCAAGCTTTTGGCTATGAGTGAGTGTATACTTCTTTAATTGAAGATAACACAGCATGAGAGGCCGTGTACAGTTTTTCTGTGCGTTCAACTTATTTCTCACAGATGGCATATACTCTTTTAGATAGAGATAATGCCACAAGTGTCTGAATTACAATTTAATGTAAAATAGAGACTCTTGTAAATAGAGATACTATATACATTTATCTCCATGAATCATCCGGCGAGCAGACCACTCCGAATGAAGCGAACTCCAAAAATTACCAACTTCGATTTCAGTCCATTGTTTGCTTGAATGAGCAACTTTGGAGATCCGCTATTTCCGTTTACTTCGTGATTTGGTCAATTGTTTTTCGTATGACCTGAATTTCTGAATCTTGCGAACCCGAACTTTTCAATTCGAACTTTCACCGGTAGAGCGAGGCATTTTGCCTATGGAGAGACCGTGCGCGAAGCACCATTGGTCGCTACTGGAAAAATTAGCGAATCCGCTGCTCTTTTTCGACATGTCCTTAGGACATTCGCTGCTTTCACGTGTTTTTCAATTCGAAGCCACTGCATAACTCCGGTTTCTTTTGCTATTTGCCATTGTGTAGAGAAGTCAGGAAGATACTCTTAATACCAATTGGGTACGGCAAGGCGTAGTGCTCTACTCATTGCTTTTGAATTTGTGCCTGTGTTTTTGTTTCGACCTAATCCCTACATAGGTACATGCATGAGTATTGAGCACATTTATATGCGCCCTTCAAGGCTCAAGAGGTATATAGAGTAACCCTGTAGACAAGCACGGACCGGCAACAGGCTGAGTAAAACAAGTGCTGTCATTGGGGAAGACGCCTTAGCTGATCTTGAAGTAGACGCTAGGGCCCCTCTTCAGCCCTCCCCCCCAATCCCCCCCTCCCGCTTTTTTTTAACTATTTAAATAAAAAAGAAAGACACTTTTCAATACACTATATAGTTTGATTCGACTATATTCATATTTATGTTAAAATTTATGTGTATATATATATATACATATATCTAGACATATATATATATAGACACACATATATATATATGTATATATATATGTATATATATATGTATGTATATATTTGCATTTATATATGCACTTATATATATATATATGTACTTATATAAATGTATATATATATAAAATTAATATGTATATACATATCCATGTAAATATTTATATAATTGTGTATCTCTCAGTATATATATTTACATAAATATATATATATAATATATATATATATATGTAAATATATATATATATATAATTACACATACATATTTACTTATAGATATACAGACGTATATATATATATGACATATTTGTGGTTGTTTTTATACACAGCTTTGATCCCAAAATAAACTACAAATAATCACGTAATTATACCTACATGTTGTATCCCTAAACCCTAAACCAAACCCTGCATATACATACATACATGCATACATACATACCTACCTACATACACCTTGAGTATCACATTCAACCCAGCACCTTGCATGTGAAAATAGGTGTTTCCAATCTGCTTTGGGGGGGAGGCGCTGCGCCCTCCCCCCCAATCCCCCCTCTCCCGTTTTTTTTTAAATTATTTAAATTCAAAACTTGCACACTTTTCAATTACTAGTTTGATTCTTTTATATTAATATTTATGTTTATATATATATATATCTAGACATATATATACATAGACACACATATATATATATATCTAATGTATGTATGTATGTAATGTAATGTAATGTAATGTAATGTAATGTATGTATGTATGTATATCTTTGCATTTATATATACACACATATATATATTTATGTACTTATATAAATGTATATATATATATAAATACATATGAATATGTATATACATATCAATGTGTATATATTTATATAATTATGTCTCTATCAGTATATATATATATGTTTATTTAGAAATACACATACATATTTACTTATAGACAGATAGACGTATATATATATATGACATATTTGTGGTTGTTTTTATACACAGCTTTGATCCCAAAATATACTACAAATAATCACGTAATTATACCTACATGTTGTATCCCTAAACCCTAAACCAAACCCTGCATATACATACATGCATACATACATACCTACCTACATACATACATAGATAGATAGATAGATATATATATATATATACATATGTATATAGATTGATTGGTTGATTGATTGATTGATTGATTGATTGATTGATTGATTGATTGAAGAAAACCATAGAAAACTTGCAGAAAACCATGGAAAATTGAAGAACACCGGGGAAACATTGAAGAAAACAATGGAAAAATTGAAGAAAACCATGGAACAATTGAAGAAAACCAGGGAAACATTGAAGAAGACCATGAACAAATTGAAGAAAAACATGGAAAAATGGAAGAAAACCATGGAACAATTGAAGAAAACCAGGGAAACATTGAAGAAAACCATGGAAAAATTGGAGAGGCACGAAACCCAAGAAAGGAAGGGGGGAAGGAAGGAGGAAGGAAGGAAAAAAGGAAGGAAGGAGGATATGAGATAACGAAAAGCAAGGAAGGAAAGAAGCAAAGACAAAGAAGAACGCTGCTTCGAAGAAGATACCAAAGAATAATAGGAAAAAGGAAGAATGGCAGCAGGAAGAAGCAGATCGAGAAGGAAGAACGAAGGAAAAGGAAAAACTTAACAGAAAGGAAGAGAAAGAATAACGATGAGATCTGCCTCGTCTGGTGCTTGCTGTGACATGCCTAGCCACGAAGTGTCTTTTTCATCTGACTTTCACACTTTCTCTGATATCCGACCTTCCATCTCCAGACATGCTGTCGCGTCGCATGTATGAGCATCGCGTTATGGAGCAGCTTGCTTGCTGGGACTCGACCCTTTATTCGGTATCTGTTGGGATCTCAAGAGAGTTCTCCAGACGTGTGATCGCCTCGCATGTATGAGCATTGCGTTATGGAGCACCTTGCTGGGACTCTCCCTCTGAGTCGGTATCCCAAGAGTAGTTGTGATTTAATATGCGCTGGTATCTGTTGGGATCTCAAGAGAGTGCTCCAGACGTGTGATCGCCTCGCATGTATGAGCATTGCGTTATGGAGCACCTTGCTGGGACTCTCCCTCTGCGTCGGTATCCCAAGAGTAGTTGTGATTTAATATGCGCTGGTATCTGTTGGGATCTCAAGAGAGTTCTCCAGACGTGTGATCGCCTCGCATGTATGAGCATTGCGTTATGGAGCGCCTTAATGGGACTCTTCGTCTGAGTCGGTATCCCAAGAGTAGTTGTGATTTAATATGCATTGGTATCTGTTGTCTGCTGACAGTCGACCTTTTCTTCGACATCTGACCCTCCCTCCCCTGTCTCCAGACACGTACGAGTCACTTGTATTAGCATACCTCGGAATTTTCTTGTTTGATACGGACCACCTGGATATTGCGGACAGATCGGCAATCGACATCTGACCCTCCCTCCCCTGTCTCCAGACACGTACGAGTCTCACTTGTATTAGCATACCTCGGAATTTATTTTTTTTGATGCAAATTTTATTTTTATTTTGATGCGTGTACCACGTTGAAATCTTGGACAGTTCCATAGAAGTCCAGGGGAATATTTTTTTTGATGCAAATCAATTTTTATTTTGATACTTATGGGGATATTTTTTTTTGATGCGTTTTTATTTTTATTTTGATCCTTCACCCGATCCCTAGGGCCTAGGGATACCCTGAGATCCTCTAGAGATGATTCTGTTTTCTGATGGGATTGAGAATGATGATTGGGGTATTGTCATGTTTTTGGACAAGCCCATGGCACTGTTTAAGGTGCCAGTGTCTTTGGAGACAAGCCCTTGCATTTTGAACCAGCGAGATCCTTGGGACTTGAAGAAATCTTGATTTGAAGTCAGGAAGGTATCGAGTTGAAAGGTGCCAAGACGATTCAAAAACAGGACAACCAACTCAGGTGGTCACCGCCTGAAAGAGAGATCTTCCAACAACTCCCATGTCGCTTCTCCAGTAACCAGAATGGGAACATCTATCCATCAAGATTGGCGGAGCATTTCCATTGCCATTTTGGGTTGCCAAGGGGTCAACCACATGTATACTTGGTTGAATCATAGAGATGTTGTTGGTGAAAAGAAACCGTTTGATCATTTTTGATCATCAACAACATCTATATCCCAGGGATCAAACCTTTTTTTTTCACCAACAACAAGAAAATCTATTGTTGGCGGAAATATCCTTTGGAGCCCCACCTTCTCCTCAACTTCTCGCCAGGTGCCCGTGACTTTGACAGATTGCCAACTGAGACATGGCACCAACTACCAGCTGGTCACCTACATCGAGGATGGGGCATGGCGGGTGTGGCTGGGTTGGTCCAGGCGTTGAAGAAAGCCTCCCATGGCTTTTTATATGGTACCCTTGGGTGATCATGGTTCAATGGAACATCTCTATACTGTTCGTTGATGTTCCCATTGACACCTCCATTTCGGGAACTTCACAGCCATGTTTGGTGACACCGGAGGGTACCTGAATCTTCCAATGTTTGCAAAATCACATTTTTTTGGACAATCTGTGCATTTCGTAATCCATAAGTTATGGGTTTCTTAAATTTTCTTAACCCTCGGGGCACCCCGAGGCTCGTTTTTTTTTGGTCCGTGGCAAGGACACCAACGCGCGCTCCGATGGCACCCTCTACTTCGTTTCCATCAAGACACCAGCCGGCACCTCGAATGGCTTCACGGACTTCCCCATCATGGTGGGCAACACCACTGCGACCTGGCCGGAAAAAAAAGGTGAGGGATCCCCCAAGTCTGCATAGGTTGAAATACTATAAGTCATGGTCTAATGACTTGGATGATTTGGGGTTACATCCAATTTAGGAAACCCCGATATGCAAAAAAGGATAAAGACATGCAGACTATCATTTCCCGAACCATCCGCTTTCCATGGTTTTCCCGCACCTATGATTATTATTTTTTGGGTATGAGTGATATGAGTGCCATAAATGAGTATGTCTGAGAATGGGGGATAGCCCAAAATTGCAATTTTGATGGGAAAACAATCAAAGGTACACCATTTTCAGATACACCCATATGTTCTTTAAAGGAAAATCAAGGCCCCAGGCCTGAACTCCACAAATCCCAAGGAGAACAACGTCTCGTTGCAGTTCACCGCCTCCCAAACGACTGGAAGTGCCTGGATCATCGTGCTACCCTCTGGAGACGTCAGTGGGGGCAGCTCAGGGGTCGGCGATGTCTCGTTTTTGATGGCGTATTGGGGGAACATTTTGGGAATATTTTCTTGGGGCCACTATCAGTCACTATCATTCAATGAGAACGGCTGAAGAAAACAACACAGACTAAACAACACTGGACTCGGGAGGTTTTTGTGTACCCAATATACGCCCCAGAAATCCTTCAGTATTTTAAGCCCTTGGACATTTCTGGAGCTTTAGAGGATGCCATGCCGTGTTACTGAGGTACCGCCACAGCCACCTCAGTTATGAACGGCCCTCAGCATTCAACAAGTTCATCAAACATGAAAAGCTGCAGTTCGAGATTTTTTGTGTTTGGAGATCTCGTAGGTGGTTTCATTGGCGTGTCCTGCGAGTTATTTGCTTCTCAGAAATTACTGTACCTTCCGTTCCGAGGGCCGGAACTGGTGCCATGGGTGGCACCCTCTGTCAGTTGCAGATGACCATTGACAACTCTCAGCACCTTTGCTGAAACGGGTTTATGCAGTTGATTATATAATTGATGATTTGGCAATTTTTTAGGGAATGGGTTGAGAGGTTGAGACCGACTACCAATCAGCCTGCAGAGCTGTTTTTCGAAGTCAGCAGAGTAGGATTGGGGTTTTCAGGTCGATAGTTTGTTCACCACCGAAGCTTGGACCTACACTCCCAATTCATTATCACCCAATGATCCATTTCATCACATTCGTAATGTCATCATCCCAGCAACCCCCAGCAACCCATCCAGCAACCCTACGTAAAACGCACCAGTAAGTTTTAGCAGTTTATGGTCGACTCACGACTGAAGCCGAGGACATCGCCGGATGCCTCAGGGGAGAAGATATCTTTTGGTGGTTTGTTGATAGTTGGTGGGGCAGTTCTTTGATGGAATATATCGAATTATATCTAATTTTAATGATTTGGAACTTCTGAATGGTCGGTTTTGGCTAGTGTTTGTTGTAGAACCTCGAGTTCTAAGATGCTGCAATCAATAATCTGGATGGAACATGGCCGACATGGCCCATTTAGAACTGGGGATTTACCACGTTTGATCACACTGGGTGAATCCAGGCAACGACGCTGGGACGCTGGGATGGTGCTGTCAATGGGCAATATCTCCCACTGTGAGTCATCTCACTAAAGATGAATGGAAGCTTGAAATAGTGGCTGCAGCCACTTAGGGTATCGCCATTTCTGTCCGATCAATCCCAGATTCTTCTTATTGTTTCACGTTGGTAAGATCGCTCTTTTGTTCAAGAGCATTTCAGTTTCTGTCGCTTCAACTTTACTCTCAATTTAGTCACACCATCGCACCACCGCAAAGGAACAAGTTTCAAGCTCCACTTGGTCAAAAAACATCACATCATCCATACCTGGTTGGTGGTTTGGAACATGGCTTTTATTTTTCCATATACTGGGAATGTCATCATCCCAACTGACGAAGTCATATTTTTTCAGAGGGGTAGGTCAACCACCAACCAGATTATTATTAGCCATCATTAACCATATGCCATGTAATATACATATATATTAACCATTATTAACAGTATATATAGAAACCATATATTATCCATATATTATCCATATATTAACCATATATTATCCATATATTAACCATATATTAACCATCATTATTATGATGGTTATTAACGCTATATTTATGTCCCTAGAAATTCTTTGATCACCCCCTGCAAAGGGGGCCTTCGTCCAGGGTAGACCTGGATGATTGCGGTTTAGCGTTCTCCACCGACTATGCGGTGATGGCCGCTTTGATGACCACGTACCGGTTGTGGCAAAGACGGGGAACATCATGGCCATGTGGAATCACATGTGGTTACACATTTATGATGGAAAGGTTGTGGTTGTAACATTTATGGTACATGATGTAAATGTGGGATGTTTAAGAATCAAACAAGAATACACCTCCATTATGAAGTGGTGACGTAGTCATGTTGAGCCAGTTTTTTTAAACCCCTGGTTCAGTAATAAAAGGGTAGTAACTTTGATAGTAATGCTTAAAGCACAGTTTTGGGAACCCCGTAGTAATCTGGAGGTTGACATTAATGGACCTAGGGACATCCCGGGACATCCCCCATGCGATGATATCGCTGATATCCCATCCATGGTTCATTGCCTGAGGGATGTGTTGATATTGATGGGACATGTTCCACCATCCAAATCCACTGATGAATGGTGCTGTTCTCTCTTGGGCGGTGCAGGTGATGTGTCCAATCACAGATTATGACAGCCAATCCCTGTGTGGCTTTGTAAAAAATAAAATAGGTCATACGAGTCATATCCCTCAAGGGTGGTATTTTCATTGCAACAACTTATGGCAATGTTCATTAAAACAACATATTGGGACAATGATTGGGACATCCCAACAACTTGGGCAATAGCCATATTTTTACAACATATGGCTATGAGTCAAAACCCTGGTACAACGTAGGTACCCCAAAATTGCTGGGTTAATGGATGGTTATTCCCCTAAATATGGTAATAATAGGTTTTGAGCCATCCCCATATCTTCCGCTTCTGGAAATTGACCATCTCTGAGCTCCCCAAAAAGGTGAACGCTGTTGCAACTCCCCTCAGCACCCCAAGGTCTACGTGGCGGATGTTGGAAAGCATGACGATGGTGCCCTACCAGGGAGCCTACCAGGGAGCCTACCAGGGAGAAGTTTATTTCTCTTTCAGATATATCTGGTGGTTTGCATAAATGGTGGTACCCCAAAATAGATGCTTTCCAATGGAAAATCCCAATCTAAAATGGATGATTTGGGGGTAGCCCTCATTTTAGGACACCGCCATATGTTGTTCATGGTTGTTCCTGCAGGGTTTGGGGCTCAAAGGTGACCAAACGGCTTTGAAAGGCACCGTACGTGTTGTGCCTCCAGGTCCTCCAGGTCTTTTTCACAGTTCTGTTTGCTCAAGGAACACTGTGACACTAATCATTCTACATGTGCCCTGAACGTCAGGATCAGCCAGTGTTCCAGTAACTCGGAAGTTTTTCTCGAAAAGTAGATTTTGTCGGCCGAAAAGTAGACAGTTGTGCACGTAACTTATTCAGACTTTGACACATTCGCAGCACACTTCTCAACTGGGGATGCCCCCTGAGAAACTCCACCCTGGTGTCGGCAGTGTCGGTGTTGGAGATGCCTGATGCCTACCATCCACCTGGACGACGAGGACGCCAACATGGCAATGGAAAATGGAAACTCTCTCCTTTATAGATGGCTTCAATTGTTTCCCTATACTTAACTGCCCATTTATTTTGTTTATTGGGGATTGATTTTCTATGGCCACTTTGATTACATCGATTTGGAAAAAAACATATGGTTTTGCTGAGAATATTCTCCATAAACATTGGATTTTCCATATGCTATAGCTGGAAAATCCGCCAGCAGTACCCGATGATTTTCCGAAAGCTCCTAAGGGTTAGGCCATGGCCCGCAGGATGAAACCACTCTAGATGTGGGATGGCTGGTGCGCATTATCGGCTTAGAGAAGGCGACAGAGCTGAACGGACAAGTTGGCAGCGTGAAGAGATTTGTGATCGAGAGGCAGCGATACTTTTTCTGGATTGGCCATGCAGTGCAGATGGCAGGCGGTCAATTTTTTGGCCATCGTGTTTTGCTGGATGGCTTAGATTTTGGGGATGTTAAACCATGTTAAACCCAGATCAGACATGATCAGACTATCACCACCTTCCATAGCCAGATCTTTGTAGCGGTTGTCAATCCAAAGCCAGAAAAATGTGCTCCAACAAATTGACACAACGTGCTCCAAGGATATGAGGTGGAGCTATTGAACACTGAAGACATCAAGTTGATCCAAGCGCGAAATCTGGAGCAGTTGCCTATCTTGGAGGAAGGGGGTGCCGACGAATGGATGTATCATGGTATCGCCCTCTTACTCCAACTTGAGACCCCCAAAGGAAAGACTAAAGTCTCAACTTACTCGAATAACCATACATGAATTTTCATATAACGCCTAAATGTGTGTCTTTATACATATGATATCATATGATACGTATTTAATTGTATTTATACATATGATATACGCACTACTTAGATCTTACCAATACCATCCCACAGTATCATTTTTGGGTTGACTTTCCTTTGCAGTAAAGTTGGTTCACAACGAGGTCAACTATGATTTATGGATGTTTATGGTAGATTAATATCGGCGTAATCAATGGGGTAACCATAAACCAACACGTTCGTTTAATCCCCAAACAGATGCCGAAACATGCTGAAATTTCCCACGATTTGAGGATTGGATTTGACGAACTTCTATATCTTTGTTGGGCTTACGAATTAATTGAATGTAAAAAGATAGAAGATGATAGAAGTTCGTGTTTCCAGGATACTAGAGATGATGTTGACCTCATATGTCCAGGTTGAAATCAACTTTTCTCATCTCAGAAATTTGCTACAGAAATTTTCCCTGCAGGAAGTCGGCATTTGGTGCAAACTGCTGGAACAGTCCAACGGCAACGCTTCGGAACCTCTGGTCCTACGACAACTGGAACGACTCGAGGAGATCAACATGACGGTGGAGCTGCTGGTGCAAACCAAGGTGGCGGCTGAGAATTAGATTGCCTGGGGATGATAATCCAGATAGATATACAATGAGTTACTACATGTATATATCTGATATATCTATATAATTTTATACAATATACACATAATTGTCTATAAGCCATGAAAAACTATGTATCTATATACTAATATGGGATGATAGGATACAATCATTAGTCGCTAACTATACCAATGATACGACAATGTATAAACGGGTTTTCCCGTTTATTTTTCTTTCAACCAATACATTCAAACAAGAAAGCATAATCGCTTTTTAATGATTGTTTAATCAATATTTGGATAAGGAATCACCTGTCTCGAGTTTAGCAATGTTGATCATCGGTTAACCACTATAGATTCATAGTTGTTGGCAGTGCATCATCAACCGTGAGACTGTCCCCTGAAACATGGAACGCCAAAAGATGTAGCCTCTGGAGACAAAAATTACCAGAGGCTACATCTGCTTATGTCAAATTAGTTGGTTGCACAAATCCCATCTTTGTATTGGTTTAGACCAAACTGTTGGTCCATCTGTTCTTTTTCCCTGGTTCAAACACACTTTTCTTGCCGCTCAAAGACCTTTTTTTTGGATGCTTCCCCCCAGTTTGACATCATCATCCCCATCGTTCCCATGGTTCAACATGTCCAGGTGGGTAAGGCCATGAACGAGTTTGCCAAGCGTGTGAGCAACGACAAGCCCACTGCGGCGAACAAAGCCCGACAGCTCGTGGCCAAATGGAAGGTGGACACTTGGAGCGAAGTTCGTGGCAGGTATTTGGGTTTTGTCACCAGAGGGGTAGAATGGGGGATATAGAGGGGATCTATGTATATAATACACGTACATATATACTGTATATGTATCATTATATATATATATATATATGTAGATTCATGTAGAGTATATAATTAATCCCCCAAAAATGTCGAAAAAGTCGCTCATCACTATTTTAGGAGTGGATTTGACCAACCTTTATCTTTCTGGGGGTTGCGAATGTAATACTAGTAACCTCCAGAAAAGATGCTGAAAACAACCATCATAAGCATGGGACAATTGTCGAGGTCAACCCTTGGGATGGCAATTGAAATCTTTCGCTACTAATGTTTTCCCATCGAATAGTACCCTCTGGTAATTTTTCACAAAGCTATTGAAAATGACCATTTATAGTGGATTTAAAATGGTGATTTCCCATAGTTTTTTGTATGTTTACCAGAGGGTAATTTTCCAAGTAGGGAATCCACCAAAATCCATTGGGAAGCCATCGGAGTGTCGAAAAAAACCATCCGAGGAATACAACCGATCCAAAGAAGACCGGAAGAATCAGGTCCTTGGGGTGGGATTGGATGGCTGATGGATAGTGGTGGAATGGGACATGTCTGTGTGGATTTTATTGCATATAACATACACATAAAATATATAAATATCTATATATTATGCACATTCTACATGCGCAGTAAAAAACGTATATATATATATATATATATATACACACGTACTGTATATTGTGTACTGGCAGTTTTGCAGTTCACCACCATCATCATCATCATCATCATCATAATCATCATCATGATCATGATCATGATCATGTATCTAAAAAGAAGTTGTGCTGCACTTATTGATGGAATTCAACAAAAGGTTGCGCTGGCTGGTGATATGGCGTCTCTCGGTAGGTTTTTTCATGTTTTTTTCTGTAACATACCGTAATTAAAGAAACACCACACGTTTAGTTTGGCATGTTATCCCAAAACATCTTACCACAGTTTCGTTTACAAACCAGCTGGAGTCCCCTGCAACTTTCCATCAGGAGAAGGAGGCGGAAAAAGAAGCCGCCGCGGCCGAGGCGAAAGCGAAAGCCACAGTCAAAGTGCCACCCGAAGAACGCTGCCTTGCTAGGGATAGTTCCAAAGGTCAGTGCAAGAACCGCCGACACCAACCCAAATTTCTGTGCGGTTTGCACCAGCGCATCCTGGACCAAAATGGCCAGTTGGAACACGGCTGGATTTCTGAGAAACCCGAAGCCAAAGCCAACCCCTCTGGAGCAGCCAGGCCCAGTCCCAAGGCTGCAGCCAGTGCAAGTACCGCGGCATCTGTGGGGGCACATGGCGCCCATGGGGTGCATGGCCTGCGGTCGGATGTGGCCATCCGGATGCACAGCAATAAATCGGTGACTGATGTGAAGCCTATGGAAAGCCCGGAGGATGCTGTGAAACTGGTGGAATCCATGAGGAGTGTGCCACCTGAAGCCATCAGTTTTCGCTTGGGCCTCTTGGTGGCCTTAGATACCTCCCCACGACATTGCATGAACAGCTTTGTGAAGAATGGTGGGGTCGAGATCCTGTCCAAATGGTTGAGGAAGAGTGCGGAGGTCCGCTTTGCCTGCTTAATGGTGCTGCAAAAACTCCCCGTGACCTTTGCAGATTTGCAGAAAGCCGACATCCTTGCAACGGTGCAGGCCATCGAAAACCAAGACCAAGAGGAGGGGCACCGCACAAATGCCGCAGCTCTGATTGAGCGCTGGAAGGGAGCGGGCTTCCTCGAACCCCCCTCCAAGCGACGCCGAGTGGAGCCATCCACGGCGCCCCAAGCGCAGGCGCCCCAGGCGCCCCAGGCGCCCCAGGCGTCCCAGGCGTGGGTGACGGTGGTGGATGAGCCCGTGGTGGCACAGCCCAGGACCCCGCCATTGGAAACGCTGCCACCCGCGCGACCTGAAGAGATTCCAGACTCGCTACAAGCCTTGGATCCAAGGATTGCAAGGGTGCTGATGGACCGACCGGGACTTCATAGCTTCCTACAGAAGCTGGGTTTGAGGATTTTGAGGATGGGGCAATTTTTTTCTTGATGTTTTGATTTTGGGGGACATATGACATACTTACTTTAATTCAAGTTTGATGGGTGTGGCAACAAGGAAGCATCCTGATGTGTTGCAGAATCTCAATGCAGATTCGCTCTCTTTCCTCCAGCGGAACTTGCGGAACGTGCAGAGAACCCGCCAGGAGGCACAGGAAACTCCTGAGGCTGCTGGAGTCACAGTCACAGTGTCAGGATTGGCTGAAAAAACCACAGAGCAAGATGTGAATCAACTGGTGAAAGACATCCAGCTGGAAGCCATGAAAGTGACCCTGCCTCGGGAGAGCCGTCGAAAACGTTCCTGTGGCACGGCCTTTGTGCTTCTGCCATCGCTGCAAGATGCCCAAAAAGTGGTAGAGAGACTCAATGGTGCACGTGCCTTTGGTGTTCAAGCCATTGAGTCATCCATTGAGTCTTTCGGATCCCCATAGGCCCCATTGGCCCATTGACCACATTTTGGTGGAACTGAGTCACCAAGTTTGCTCCAACCAATAGAAAAGACTGTCCATGATAGCCAATTGGTGACATTACCTCCTACCGAAGCCATGATTTTGTTGAAAGAAAAGGTATATATCATTTTATATCCTCAAAGTTGCGTCATAATCATCATTTTCCCATTCAAATTGCCATTTACATGGCTGTTATTACTACCAATGCAGCCAGTATTATCATTCCACAAATCATGGATATGATATACCAAATTTTCAGACACACCCAACTATCATACCATCTTCTTGACATAATGATCCATAATTTACATAATATATATATATATGTATATGTATATATACATACATATATATATATTATATGTATAGATAGATGGATGGATGGATGGATCGATGGATTAGATTAGATTAGATTAGATTAGATTAGATTAGATAGAGAGAGAGAGATAAGAAGAGAGAGAGAGAGAGAGAGATAGAGAGATAGAGAGATAGATAGATAGATAGATAGTTAGATAGATAGATAGATAGATAGATAGATAGTTAGATAGATAGATAGATAGTTAGATAGATAGATAGATAGTTAGATCGATAGATAGATAGATAGATCGTTAGATAGATAGATAGATAGATAAATAGATAGATAGATAAATAGATAGATAGATAGTTAGATAGATAGATAGATAAATAGATAGATAGATAGATAGATAAATAGATAGATAGATAAATAGATAGATAGATAGATAAATAGATAGATAGATAGATAGTTAGATAGATAGATAGATAGTTAGATAGATAGATAGATAGTTCGATAGATAGATAGATAGTTAGATAGATAGTTAGATAGATAGATAGTTCGATAGATAGATAGATAGTTAGATAGATAGATAGATAAATAGATAGATAGATAGATAGATAGATAGATAGATAGTTAGATAGATAGTTAGATAGATAGATAGATAGATAAATAGATAGATAGATAGATAGATAAATAGATAGATAAATAGATAGATAGATAGATAGATAGATAGATAGTTAGATAGATGGATAGATAGATAGTTAGATAGATAGATAGATAGTTAGGTAGATAGATAGATAGTTAGATAGATAGATAGTTAGATAGATAGATAGATAGATAGATAGTTAGATAGATAGTTAGATAGATAGATAGATAAATAGATAGATAAATAGATAGTTAGATAGATAGATAGATAGATAAATAGATAGATAGATAGATAGATAAATAGATAGATAGATAGATAGATAGATAAATAGATAGATAGATAGATAAATAGATAGATAGATAGATAGATAGATAAATAGATAGATAGATAGATAGATAGATAAATAGATAGATAGATATATAGATAGATAGAGATACCTTCCCATGATTTTGCTATCAGGTTTACACCAGAAGGACCTGACCGTAGAGCTCTTGGAAGATCGCGGCACGACGATGTCGACGTCCGGCGATCCGGGCGATCCGGGCGGTGTCGGCCGCCCGCGAGTGAAGTGGAAGGCCGATTCCGAGCTCTGGGAGGCCCGGGGCCCGGTCTGATGGATCTATGGATCCATGACAAATGGTGATTTTCCCATGATTTTCCCATCAAAAATGGGGATTTTCCCATGAAAAATGGCGATTTTCCCATGAAAAATGGTGATTTTCCATCGTTTTTTGGTATGTTTAACCATGTTGACCATGGAACCATTGAAGGTACCCTCTGGTAAACATACAAAACACTATGGACAGATCCACCATTTTTAATGGGAACATCAACTATTTCGACTGGGCAATTTTCAATAGCTATGTAAAAAAAATACCATTTAAGGTATCCATTTAAGGTTGATGATGGATCATTGGATCATGGGTTAATGATGGATCAATGGTTAATGGCGGATGATTGAGCAACCATTTGAAATCTGGCGTGAGCGATCCACTATCCAAAACCATCCCATTGACCCGATGGGTTGATGATTGTACTCAGGGGATACCGATACATTGGGGAAGATCAGACTCCAACTCCCTGTACCCAACCAGTAGCCATAGTTCGTTCACTTATTTTTTTGGGGATGAGCCGCTTTTGTGGGGGACACACTCAACCACCATGACCGGGGGGATCATTCTCAATCCTCCCATCCACCTATTGGGGATGTTTTATGGCATGGGGTTTACCACATTATGATCAACCAGATTTGATGTTTAAGTGGGCGATTAAATATCGATTTGCCATGGGTAAATTCCACTAAGAATGGGGAATCCATAGGGAATACTTTATACTTTTTGGACCATCTCGCGCAATAAAGGTTGTTTTGTATAGTATAGTAGATTTTTATTAACAAATAAGTTTTGAAGATCTGTTAGATTATATTATTACCAGCCATTACCAGCCATTTGAATGGAAATTCAAAGATCTGGTACACTTATGTGGGGCGATGAACACCGTGAACACCCAGAAATCCCAGCGATTTTGGTGCTGTTGGAAGGGCTGAACTTTCTGCATCCCCAGAGCTGGAGAGTTCACTGCAGATGTGTCTTTTTGTTCCAAGGATTCCAAGGCATGCAAGAGCCATGGATGGTAAATGAATGGTAAATTTCAATAGCTGGTAATCAATTGAACCATGGCTATGTAGATATTGGATGATATTGGCCTAATATCAATGGCCATATAGATTCTATAGATATTGCTTAAATGTGAACCGTCAATCGAACAATGATCATCCCTGATACCTGTGCTGCCTATCCAGCGATGACGTCCTAAAATCGGTGTTCCCTAGGTTTTTTGTTACTCAACTTCTGGATCCCCCTGATCTCATCCGCACAGGTCATCGTCTTCTCCCCCGAAGAAAGCGTTGCATGCCTGGGTCAGCGCATCAACAACCGTGACTTCCAACCGGCCGCGGCCGTTTCGAGTCAACCCAGCAGTTCACAGCAGATTCACCATTCACGGTTCCAGGCTGCTCGTCGGGCAGAAGAAATCATGGAATCTGAACAGGTCAGGAAGGCCCTGGCCGGGGCCGTGGAGGCTTGACAAAGCGCAGCGCAGCTGGAAAATACGGCCGCTGAGAGGAGGTGATGATTCAGAGTCAACATGTTATTCCGATTTTTCACAGAAAATGACGGGTTTTCCACATATTGTCATGTCGTTCTCAACAAAAATGTAGCTCTAAACATCAGGAAGAATGAGGAAACCTGGAGGTCTTGGACGTTTTCCGTAGGCAGCTACGCACCATCCAACCTGCCTACGGAAAATCCCCTTTTCTATCCACTCCAATGATTTTTCCAGAGAATCTTCCCATGATGTCCGAAGAGTCGGAATGACATTAATCTCACCCAAAAATTCGACATCGGGATTCCGCCTTTTTTTAGCCACTGGAACCACCGTTGAACCACCTGGAATTTGGAACCGCAGGTTCCCTGGCTGCGAGTCCATTCCGAAGTCCGACCTCCAACATCTTGGTATCCACCCCATCCCTGGCTTCGGCGGTGACCATCGATGGCCGGGGGAAAGGGCCCATTGGACCTGGGATGAATTCATGGAGCCATGATCCCAAAAAATCAAGCTTTGTTCAGCTGTGGGTTGGGGGGAATGGGTCAAAATTATATAGAAGGCCCCAAGTCCTTGTTTTTATATGTTTTTACTCCTTCAATAGAACAAGTTTTTTTAAAAAAAACATATTTTCCGTACTTTACTGACTTCACAAAACTTTCAGATCTGGGTCTTCCAAGAATGCTTCGAGGCACGACTTACCCATGCCCATGGCGTTGGGCATAAAGAAATACAAGGAGAAGCACCGATATCGTACATCTTCAGGGCCAACCATGTGAGTTTATCATCAAATCTCCGTTCTGCTGGCAGCTTGGTAAATTATAACGAGCTCACTGTCCTCCCTCACTGGAATGATGGTTAGTGTACGGAGACTTCTCTCAATATAGCCTTATTTTTACCATTTTGTCCAGATCTTTTTTCTTCGAGTGTTGCCCAATGTTGCCCAGCAGGCTTCACGGTGAATGTGGAGACCACCAAGAGTGGCAATGTCTGGGCCTACGTGGTGAGCGAGGCGGGAATGACTTGTTGATCCGCTGATGTCCGGTTCACGGAAGCAGAGGGGTATGGTTCATCCGGTTCATCAGATTTCACGAGAGACACGCTGAAAGTTCTCAAAAAAATGCTGAAGGTCAATGTGTAAACCTGCAAAATTGGCTTCAGTATATCCTTAAGAGTAATATCAAGAGTTTTTTTTATCAATTTGAGAATCTTTATAAATGATGGACAAAATTGTGTGCCAAAAAGTAGAGATTCCATATTTTTTTCCATCCATTCTTGAATCCCAGATCTCTGGATTTTCTCCAGGCCAATGCGGCCCTGGTCACTGTGGCTTGGAGAAAACCGATGGCTACAAAAGCCTCCGGTGATTTCGTAGGCATGTGGTGATTGATATAGATGAACAGAAATTTATGGATGATATGATGATATCATATCTATATGTTTTTATAATTTTGATAGATTATGTCCTATGGTAAACCACGCTTTTTCAAAGGTGAACCGTCGAACTAGATGTTCCATTTTCCATTGCAAACTGTCAAATGACCAGAGGGTAACAGTTTTTATAATAGTTTTTTTCAATATTTGAGGCGCTGAACACAACTATACTCAACTGATCATTTGCCGATAATCTCATGTCATTTCGCTTCAAAAACACCAGCCATCTGGGCTCCAGCCCCAAGGTTGCCACGGCCAAGTCGGGACAAATGTGGGCGTCGCGCTGGCCCAGTGGAGCGGTTTACCGAACATCCACAACTGATCTCATGTGATCTTTGTGAAAGTGAACAGTCATTTTTTTTCGCTTGTCTGGAATATGTTAGATATAATAGATATTATATATTATATATTGATATTGTCCATTTTTGCATATGACCATCATTGTGCCGTTGTTTTTTTGTTTCCGGTGATTTCTCAAGACATGTCCATCGTGCGTACTTCAGTCCATGCGGCATCCGAGACCAGTGAGGTATGGAGCTTTGAGCTGCAGGAAATTGGGACAGGCCTCGGAGATATAGCTGGATATACCCTCTGGTTATGACTAACATAGCCATGGAGAATGGCCCATAGAAATAGATGGTTTACCTATTAATAGCATGGGGATTTTCCATGGCTATGTTAAATAACCAGATGGTAACGGACATTTCATGGGGATATCATGGGATATACTTATTCCCACTTCATGGGAATCACTACCGGTGTCAAGCGTGGCTGGAAAATCAACGAAATGGAGGTTTAGTTCCGGCAAAATCATTGAACTTCCGGGATGTTTCAGCCACGTTTGATGACACCGGGGAGTCGTTTTTTGTTGGCCAATTCTGCAGATCATTCAGATGTCTTGATTTCGATAAATCCACATTTTCCTTCACTATTTGTTTGTTGTTTATACACAGAAGTAGCAATTGTTTTACGAATCAACACATGTGCCCCGGACAAAACTTGAATATACATTGAATATCATTGAATGATGTGCACATATTGGGAGATCGTCATCAATCCATTTTCATAGGGATATGTTTCAGAATGGCGACATGACATGACCATAGGCCATCCATAGATCTATAGCAACTCACGCAACATAGCCCAACAGGCCATCACTGGCGGCACAGCTACGGTGTTGAGCTTCAGTGGCTGTGCCATGCCGAAGTCTCAAGGTTTGGCTGTTGTGGCTGTGCATCCGGATTTTTTTTTGGGGTGTTTAATTGGTCCATGTGCAAAAAAGACTCTGGGGATTCAGCTAGGCAGCTAGTTTTCACAGTTTTCAGCTACATCCTCTGCAGATTTTGAGACATTTTTTGGTGGGTTGTCAGATCATCCTGCTTTTGGAGTTGGTTTTGTTTTTTTTGCCTCTTTGTTCATCAAAAAGGATACGACAAAGTGGAGATTCCTGGAGTTGTTGTTTTCATCCATGGCTGCTTTGCTGAGTGGATGGTGTTTTGCTGCTGATCTTTGCTCAAGACTTAGCTTCAACATCCGTCCCAGTCCCAAAATCTGTGGAACATCTGCCCTGAAAGGCGCCGGGCATCGCCGGGCTGCAAGTTGTGTGAGATGACACGACCCAGATCGACAAAGGGATACAAAGGGCCTCACTGCTTGTAGTTTCACTTTCTAAGAAGGCTCCAGAAGCCGACCATTTTCGATTTTCATGTCTTTCAAACATGTGTTGTTTAGGTCAAACCTGTTCAAAGATGTTCAAACTTTTTTTCTAGATTTCTTCTTGGTGAGACGATGCCCTCCAGTTGACACAAAACCCACTCACGGTTTCCACCTGTCAGATGAATCTCTTCAAGTTCCTTGGCAGCAGGTGGACAGACAGTTGACATGGCAAATCATGGCAAAATTTCCTACCGATGGAATCATCGTTTTTTTTTTAACCGAACTTAGTATGGACGCCGCATTAAAACATCCAACACTTAAACATCCATAAGTGGCAAAAACTGAGAAATGTATGAAATGTCATTCCAAGCCACCCAGATTTTTTGAATTTTCCAAGCCTGACTACTGAGGGTGCTTCCTTTGCTTCTTTCGTTGGTGGCGGTGCGTTGTCAGGCCGCTGATGGATGAGTTGGACCACCGGTTTCAGTGGCTTACCATACGTATGTATATCCATGTATATACAGTAGATGTAAGATTATATAGGTAGTATGTATGTATGTATGTATATATATATATATCTATATATATCCATGGATGGGGATATGAGTATCCACATTCATATCCCCATTCTTTCCCATTTACTTGGTGAAGCCATCATTCTTCATCGAATTTCCCATGGGTTTTCCTCTAAAAAAACCACCATGAGACTGCCATTAGTTGACAGGATGACGATGTGCCCGACTTCGATGAACTGATGACCGAGATGGATAGCGATAAGGCGGCGGAGTTTTGATGATTTGGGATTTTTTTCCCAATGGGAAATCCACTCAAAACATGGGGAATCCTGTAGGGAATCTGTTCTATTTTTTGGGGATGGGGAATCTAGAATTAATCATAATGTTCTTTTTTTTTGCGGGGGTTTCCTTAAGCAAGTTTCCAAGTTTTGTCGATTTAAACATCCATCGGTTTTGGCTGCTGAAGCCCATAATCTTGGGGGATGCAAGACTAATGAACTGGTGATCAACTGGTGATCAGCCAGAGTTATGTTCTTGTGATCTAATTTCGTGGTCCAAAAATGCTACCACATTTTCAGCCAAACCTAAAATGAATTCTTACTTTCTTAGCAGTCCAAGACCTAACTTTTAATTTGTTTTCTATGTAGCCTGCCTTTTGATCATAGTTTCCTTGGTGTTATGTATGGTGAAGTTGCCGTCCAACCGCCAGAAATGTCAAGCTTCTTCTGGGGTGAGGAGATAGCAAAATCTCCAGGGGTGAGGAGAGAGTAAAAACATGTAAAAACTAGAATTGACTAATGTACCCAATTCTTTAGAAAACAAAGCGTTCGCATGCTGCGAGTGGCAGAAAGTAGTGGCGTATCTGCACTCAGAGAGTGCGGCATCTTCGAGGCCAGCGTTGAGTAAAAGCTTTTTGGAGTTCGAAACGTCCAAGTTTTGTTTAAAACACAGAAGAATGTGTCTTTACATACCTGGTCTTTTTGAAACGAAGTGTGCTTTAATTGGTGTGTGTTGGGAAACCTGTTCCGAGCCAACACAACTGTTCCGAGCCAACACAACGGGCTGGCTGCCAAGTATGTTCGTGCTGAAAGTTTGTTTGCAGCTTACCTGGCTAAAGTTGCTCAACAGGAAAGTAGACAGGTTTCGGGCCAACACAGCCAGACGCGTTGGCGCGGAAATACGTTCGCAAACCTTCTTGGGCCCAGCCAACATGGTTAATATGCAAACTTTTCTAGCAGATTTCGGAACATGCTGTTCGGCTAAAACATTTTTTACTTTCGATTGATCCCCAACATGGCACTTCAAGGCCATTGATCTGACATATATTTTGCCAAAATCAAACTACGACAAGTCTAGACACAGTTTCATAGTACAAGACCTCAGGCCATAAGTCGCAGTACAAACCTCACGCCATTGTTTTGATTCTCAAGGGGGGAAATGTGATACCTTTAGCCCCTAGCCCTCCAGTGTTAAAAGATGCAGCACGTGGGGAGTGTGACTTGCGCAGCTATTTTTTGAGCAGAAAGTTCAAACTTTTAGATGCCTGGAGTTTGGTTGGCTAAGTTTTCTTCAGCATTTTCTTAACAAAATAGTGATGTACTTGGACCATGAGATTCGAAGCACCATGTTCATATGGTTCAAAATTACATTGCGCGGTTCAAAAGAATAAAGATCAAGAAGAACAACTACAGTATACCAGGTATATGTTGGAGAAAATCGCCAGAATATATATATATATAATTATATATACTTATATTTATCTATCTAAACATATATTTATGTATAGATAGTATATACCATGATATTTTGAACATTTTTGAACATTAGATTTCTATCATTTGATGTGGTGGTCTTCCCATCTTTTCCACATGAATCAGCATCCTATGGCCAGGACGGCAAGGTTTCTTGGGATGAGATGTTTGGAGGCGGAATCATCCAGTCATGGCCAGTGATCCACAATCTGAAAGTGTTTGGGGTAATGGGGGGTGAAGTTCAGGTGGATCCCAGTAGAATTTTCATGGAATGAGATTATCCTAATCACTTATCATGTCCCAATGAGTTCTATAATTCAATGATGTTTTTAAAAAACAATTGGAATTTCCTCGATTTTTATGGAACAGTTTTGGGACACAATTGAGCAACTGATCCCGGACACCTTATGGTCAGTTTTTGGCCCTTGTATTTTGACGATCTTTCGCCTTCATGGATCATAGATCTTTTTGAGATTTGGACATATATATATATATGTTCAACTCCTCTAAGATGATAGATCCATGATATGAGTAAAGTAGTAAAGTTGATCTGATGATAGACCATCTGAATGGACACCTATCATCTAATCACATCTTTACTTTCAGGTCAAGTATGATCAGATCATCCGCTATTCATTGGAACTCGCCGCTCATGTTGGACCAGGAGAAGGGAGTGAAGAAATGAACGAGTTGCCAGCAGACATCAAGAAGCAATACACAGATGTCTACAAGGACCGGGAAGTCAGGGGTGGATGTTTTTTTTTGACCTTTCAGCCTGTGGACTGTGGAGATAATGATACCCCGTTACAACAGAATCTTCTGCAAGGTGCCATTGGGCATGACTATGGCTAATTTTGGGTATCTCACCAGAAAAACAGGGAAAACTCAGAACATCCATGGTTTCATACTATGACGAAGAGGTCACATTCGTCTAGGATCAGAAAAAAAAAAATAGTTGCTTGCGACACCAGGTGACTGGCCAGTGGTGATCATGTTAGTTTTTTTCTCACCTATAACTTGCTGAAACAGAACTCCATGTTCGGAATATCATCTGCTTAGGTGTCAGCCCTTGACTTGCCAAACCAAGAGTTTTTGTTGCAGATTGGTTGATTGAAATATGCTGGATAGAGAAGCACCTCCAAAACATCCCACACCCATATTCACAACCGTTCTGAGGACATTTTGTACCTGTTCCCCCAACACATTGTTCGCTTTTGGTACCGTCTATTTGGTACCATGATATCCTATGATATTGCCATAAAATGGTCAAGCTCTATACCCAATTATTTATTGCCACGATGTATCCCACTATCATGTTCCCATTATATTATTATATTCCCCTTAAATCAGAACAACCAAAAAGGGAAATGAGACTAATTGAATATTCCCATTATATTCCCATTATATTCCCATGATCATACTACCCTTATTCCATTATATTCGCATGTTTGGCGGACGAATACATATCAATATATAAAATAATGAATAGAATATGAACAGAGAAACATGATACATATTCCCATTATATTCCCAAGAAATTCCCAGTATATTCTAATGACATGCCATGCCCATGATATTTCCCATCTTAGTCCCATATAAACATATGTTCTATGCCAATGGTCCTCACTTTTCGTTTTTTTTTTTTTTCGAAGCCAGGAGTGCGATACAGACTCCGACGGCCTTATTAGCCGAGAGGATCAGCATCATGGGGGAGAAATGATCTTGACCTTTTGATGAAAAACATCATGGGATTATGTGTTTTGATTGATGTTGGATGGCCTCAAAATTCAATTAGTTTGGCTCCCTGAAAAAAAAGGTCGACCCCGGAAGAAAACTCCGGAAAGTTCCTTATTCTGGAAAATGGACAGTGAGTTGTGGTGTATGTTTGTTTTACCAACATAATCACCATGGCAATCTACCAATGACAGATGATGCTATAAATTCACCAGCATAACTGGTAGGTCACTCAGCATTGAAGATTCTTTCGCCGTCTTGGATGGTTCCATTTGCACAAAACCATCGTGGAAAAATATCTGTTCCCATCTCTGGTCGCAACGATCTCTGTTTCATTCCATGGATTCCATGGCCCAACGCCCATCCTGGGCTATGTTCCGCCAGATGTTTCGGAACATTTATAAAGCCCAAACCCCTAAAAATCCATCGGTGAATTGATGTTCATTGCCACTTTCCATCGCTTTCCCTATCATTTTTCGGCAATTTTTGGATTCAGAGCCATTTTGGACGTTGAGAAACTCAACAGGAGCTGCCCAAGTTCTTTGAGAAGATGAATGCCTTAGAGGAGCACGTCCCTGATGTTGGGGAAGACTATGCTGGGGGAGTCCCTGATGTTAGCGGACAAGGTTTAAAGTTTAAAGGGGGAATGCCCAAACACACCATTTCAATTCATTTCATATCATCTCATGCCATTTCATATCGTTTCATAGATTCATATCATTTCCTATAGTTTTTTCAAATATCATTTCATATCACATTTTTTTTGCATAGTATAGGAATCTATAGGATATGTGCAGTTGAATCTCTCTAGGAGAAAATCAAGCGCAACTTTTTCTTGACCACCCCCAGGGTCTGCATTTTGGGCGAGGACGCCGTGAGCGAGGAAGAGGGCAGCGATGAAATCTGATCGCCCCGTGACCGGCAGGGTTCATCAGTTTTGAGACTCCGAAAGAAACATCATGAATGGTATGTTTCAGAGTTGAGGATTTCCGGAACCGCCACATGACAATCATGACTAACAAAACCATCGATGACAATTATGACTAACAAAATCATCGATGCAAGTAATAGGATGCGGACTTGCTGCAAAAGCTTCAAAGCGATAGAGGACCGCCCACTTTAGCATGTCGTTTTGGAGTCAAAGGAAATTTTGTCCGCCGCTCAAATCATTTTTTGCCTAAGATGTGTGAACAACCAAGTGAGTTGGGTTGTTGAGCTGTTTCAAATGTTGTGCTTGTAAGAGTTAGGTAGAGGCATTCCCCCATGTCCCTTCTGCATTTAACAGTTTTACATCGAACACAAAGGGCATGTGGAAATCCCCGCACCGTTCCTCAGCTGCAGCTTAATTCGATGGTTTCCAGGTCCCATAAAAGCCTCGCCAGCCAACCAGCGAATCTCTGGTGGCTCTCCGACTTTGGAAACGTTGGACCAGAGAGTTGACAGCGAGTTAGAAAAAATCGGCTGTGGGACCGGGAGGGAAGCTGAGAAACTAGGAGAAACTGATGGCCAACACAGAAATGTTGACGTTCCAGTTGAAGTTGCTAGGGTTTTAAAAAGTCCCTTTGACAACAGAGAAGCTTAACCCTTTGATCAGCAAAGCTAGACGCCGAAAAATGCAAAACATTCAGGTGATGTTTTTTCACATCGGCGGATATCGGCGGCATTTTGAGTTCTGCTAGACTGCTTTTTCCTGCCGAAATTCCAATTTTTATGGGACATCATGATCCCCCTGATATCCCATCATTCGAATGGGGTTCCCCATCGTGACTGTCAGCCAAAGCTGGGATGCTGATCCCCCCTTGACCAAAGCTGAGGCCTTACAGCACAATGCTGAAGCTTTTTGTGGCTCGGCAAGATTTCTTGGATTTGGCCCACCATGGAGATGAAATCATCACCAAACAGCAGGGTTGAACGAAGTAATCCCTTCCCCCTAATACTAACCCCCCCTCCCCAATAATAAACACCTCAGGTAGTTTTTATTATTAGGGGTTTATTTATTATTAGGGAACCCTATTAATAAATTTAAAACCTTAATAATAAGAACTATTTTTTCCGATTTCAAAATCAATTACATTTCCGTTTATAACGCAATTAACATATTGCCAAAAATTGGATTTCGAACCGGACCCTATTAATAAGTTTAAAACCTTAATAATAAAAACATATAAAAACTATTTTTGCCGATTTCAAAATCAATTAAATTTCCTTATATAACGCAATTAAAATATTGCCAAAAATTGGATTTCGATGCGGACCCTATTAATAAATTTAAAACCTTAATAATAAAAACTATTTTTTATGATTTCAAAATCAATTGAATTTCCTTATATAACGCAGTTAAAATATTGCCAAAAAATTGATTTCGAAGCGGACCCTATTAATAAATTTAAAACCTTAATAATAAAAACATATAAAAACTGTTTTTGCCGATTTCAAAATCAATTAAATTTCCTTTTATAACGCAGTTAAAGTATTGCCAAAAATTGGATTTCGAAGCGGACCCTATTAATAAATTTAAAACCTTAATGATATTTTTTTTCCGATTCAAAAATCAATTACTAATTACATTTCCTTTTATAACGCAATTAAAATATTGCCAAAAGTTTGATTTCGAAGCGGACCCTATTAGTAAATTCAAAACCTTAATAAAAACATTTTTTTTGATTTCAAAATCAATCCAATTTCCTTATATAATTCAATTAAGATATTGCCAAATATTGGTTTTCGAAGCGGACCCTAATACTGAATTAAAAGCCCTAATATAAAAAACTAAAAATTTTCGGACGGACCCTAATAATAAACACCCCGAGGTTGACTAGTTTTTATTTTTGGGGGGCGAAGCCCACAAGTGGTAGCTTTATTTTTAAATTGTTTTCTAAAGGGGATCAATTAAAAGTCAAATTGGCCAATCTGAAATTTTCCAAAATTAGAGATGGACCCGATCGTTTTTATTATTTGGGGGGGTTTAGTAATAGGAGGAAGGGATTCATCATGGGATCTAGGCCCGATATTTTGGGGTATACGTAAAAAATCACTAAACATTGCCATTTCAAGGGGAAAAACATGTGATGAACCATTGGGATTTTGGGATATCCCCATTTGATTGGGGGTTGATATTGTGCCAATGAGCATGCAGGGTGGACTGGCCACACGCTGCCCATTCCCTTGAACAGCCTTGGGTATCCATGCTGGTCATCTTGAGTATGTCCTCATTTCAATGATTCAAGCGATTTATATAAATGTTTGGTGGTGAAAGCATCCCAAATAAGCAATCTTTATTCTTCAACCGGCATCTCCGCATTTTGCTGGTTACACCCAACAGTTGTTTGGTGGTTCACTCTTGAAGTGTTTTGTTTGTTTCTTAAACCCAGGATGTTTGGTGCTTCACCCGAACCATGCCCAACCAGCCATTTAAGTATTCAAAGATCCAATCTTGTTAGCTAGATCCTTGTCATTCCCAATGTTGAAAGTGAAGTTTGGATGAGTTTGGGATGTTTTGATTACCATTTTCCCATATTTTCCCCATGAAGATCATGATAATTTTCCACCAAGTGCTTTTGTTCCACCTGTTCGGGACGGACTTGGAAGCCTGACCCCATCTCCAGGTGTACGTGGAAGACACCAACGGCCTGGGTGATGGCATGCTCTCCCCGGCCATCGACGTCTATGCGGCTGGGTGTATGTGCTAGGGTTATGGTTATAGCAAGGCCATATCACCTACCTACATGTAAAATTGCACACACACACATATATATATATACACAATAATATGTCGTACATATACTCCCATATTGAATATAAATATTGATATGATATATAATATATGTATATGATATGATATATATAATTACATATACATATATGATATATATACATATATGATATATATATATGATATATATATATATGATATATATATATATGATATATATATATATATGATATATATATATATATGATATATATATATGATATATATATATATGATATATATATATATGATATATATATATGATATATATATATATATGATATATATATATATGATATATATATATGATATATATATATATATATATATGATATATATATGATATATATATATATACAGTATATGATATATATATATACAGTATATGATATATATATAATAATAATAATAATTATTATTATTATTATTATAATTGTTATTATTGCTTAGAAAACATGACCTGTGGGATTGGTTGAGGCTGCAAATACCTGTCCAGTCGACTCCCTTTTCTCCCTCCAGGTTCCGGGTTCATCGACCTTCGACGTTGATCCAACTGTGAATGGCGTGTCGGCGCCTGTGAAAGGCTTGGCTTTTTCTGATATGGAAAATGACCCATAACATTGATGGTTTACCTATTAATAGCATGGTGATTTTCCATGGCTATGTAACAAATAACCAGATGGTATGAAGAACATCAATTTTTTTGCTGAGAAATGAAATGACATGAATATTGGATGAAGTTTTTGATTGGACACTTCCAGCTTCAGTTCATCTTTAGAGTGGACCTGGTTCAATCTTGATGTCATTTGTAGAAGTTAACCGGAGGCTTCAATGTTCAAATCTTCCACTTTACATCATTTATTTGTGCACATATACTTTGTCATGAGAGATCATTTTTCAGTATATATCCAGTAAGTATATATATATATTATCATATATAGTCTTGGAGACACCTTGATACAACCTCCAAGGCCCACACAGACAGCGGTGGCAGTCGACTTCAGCGTGGCTCATGATGCCGGTGCCACCATAGGCGGGGACGCTTTGTTGGGGGATGCCTCCTGAAAATGGCAAGTTTCATGGGGAAAAACATGACGTTTTTTGGCCGAGAAATGGAGAATCTTGTTAGTAGTGGGGGATATTCCCATTGATTCCAATTGATAGTGATGTTTTCTTGGGTGTCAATGGGAAATTGCTGAGACATTTGGAAAATGAAAGGAAACTCAAGAAAAGCCATGACTTTACACTGTACACAATTTGCAGAGGGTTCAGGGTTGCCTGTCAAATTTTCCCATCAACTCAGAAGTTGTTTTGGGCCATCCAGCATGCGCCCAAACTCAGCAAAAAAAACATCAGAAGTTGATGGGGCAAACCAAGAATACAGATTGCCAAAGGATGGGGTCCATTTATAGATGATTTCCCCTATGAAAACCTCCAGGAGGCTCCATTTGTAGATCTATAGGTGATTCTCCAGCAGCTTTCATGACCGGAGTGCCCATATGTTTTGCCAACCTCAAAGAATTGGTGATTATTTTGCCGATCCTCCAGGAGAACCGCAAGCCGTGTATGGAAAATTTGGTGACCCACTGAGACCCTTCCCAACTGAAGGGAATTTTTTCAGGAACATCTCTGCTTCCGCTTGGGATGTCTACCCCAAATCTTCCATGAAAAAAATGCTCATCCGATGGTCACAATGGCGAGCAATGGTGACCATCCAGGTTTGGTTTGGGCATCCATCGGCATCCCAAGCGCTGCTTCCGCTTTGGATCTGGTTTCCGTGAAGGCTCAGCAGATTATTTGGGAACATGCTGTGTGAACCAGATTTTTGGGGTCCCATTTTGGATGATAAGGACAGGTATTAAGGGGGAAAAAATGGGGCTTTTCCATGACTTCCCTACTTGAAGAGCCCAGCTTTTGGGAATTTGAGGGGCAGAAGTTTGGGAGAGATTTGGGATACCGATATCCATCTGTATATACTATATATACCCTCTGGTTATTTAATAGTTCGCCATGGTATAGATGGCCCTAATCGAAATAGATGGTGTACCAAAAAAAAAATGGTGATTTTCCATGGCAAACTGTTAAATAACCAGAGGGTATATATATATATATACATATGTACTGTATGCTCATAGTTCTTGGACGTGGAGCTCATCCAAGTTGGGCCCAAAACATCCACCAGGCGGTACACTTTTTTTAAAAAAAAACACCAGGACGGTGAAGGCGATGGTTTGGTGGTTGTATCCCATTCTATCCCCATTCTATCCCCATTGTTCCCCATTGGGGTTAAATTTGGTCACTCTCCGGTTTTTTTTGCTTCCTACAGTATCCATGTATTTTTCAACCCAAGATGGAAAAAGCAAAGATGGGAAAATCCTGGGTTTTTCAATAGGAAGATGATGCACCACCGGGTGAAAAAATCGTGATTTTCCAGTGGCCATCCCGCCCCGCCCCTGGTGATTTCCCGAACCTTGCAGGTTGCCACTGGCATGAACTGCGGTGTTTCGGGAGATGACAAGAGCTTAGATGGTGTTGCAGTGACACAGCATGATAAATAGATTTGTCTGAAAAAAAACGGTTTACCCCTCAAATATCCTGAAATAACAATTTTAAGAGGGGAACATGAAGTATTCCAAAGAGTTTGAAGAGCTATCTCAAGATCACGTTCATGCGAAATGGAAGCTTGTCATTGGTGTCTTCATCAATTTCCAGATGTTTCATTGTTCAATACGAATCAGAGATGTTGCTATCGATGCAGAAAACTAAGGCCATCTCAGTTGGTGCACAATCCATCAGCATTACAGGCCAGCCCTGGGGCCTCGCACCCGAGATTTCACATCAAAATAGCTGGCAGCTGGTAGATGCTGGCAGTTGTGGTTGTGTCAATTCAGAAGATCATGGCTTCAACAATTTCAACCGTCGAGCCCCAAATTTCGGAGGGTTCTTTGGGCCCTCAAGCGACGCAGGTTGCACTTTGGAGCGTGGTTATGAGTGACCAGCGGGGCCGGTTAGGAGAAGGATCCACTGGGACACTTTTTCGCTTCTGCTCTGGCAACAATCTACCGCTCTCAGCTAGCTGGCTATCTGCTATCTCTAGTAATTATCTCAGTGAAATCTAATCCAAATTCTGCTGTTTCTGTAAATTTTCCTCAAAAGATCCAATTGGGCTGAGTTCAGGGAGTCAAAGCTGACTTCAGGTGGATTCTGGCATTTTGGGTCTCCCTTTCCATTGATCAACTTTCTCCATAGAAAAACCGGAAAAATCGACGAGAAAACCAGGTACAGCTTGGTGGTCTACGTGGAATCCTCTGGCAACACTGGAACTTTGTCGTCTCCTGTCTCTGTCATGGTACCTTCCTCCAATAGCTTCTACACGGCTGGGGAGCCCAGGCACGGGGAAAAGATGGGGAAAAGCCATCAGATTGTGTTTTTTTTTTTGATTTTGGACATCATGTTTTGTCTTGAGAAGCAGCTTCAACATCCTTCAACTCTGAAAGACATTGGAAGCTACAGTTTCTATGAGTTCCTGTTGATTCTATGTACTAGCCACTAGTCACTAGTCACATAGAAATTACCCTTGAATGTCAGACTAGCCGGGTGTCCCAAGATCATGAGCCAAGGACCCTGCGGCCACCAATCCAAGCACTGCAGGTGCCCAGTTTTCTGTCTGGTCATCATCTGGTTATCCTGTTTTTTCATGGGCCTGCTGGATGCTGATGATTGGTTCAAGCACTTGTTTCATTTGTCGATTCTTCGTCCGGTTTTTGTTGGAACTCAACAAAAACCAAGCGAGACGCTGGCGCCAATGGTTTTTCTGTTGGCATCTGATCGCCAGGTGTCGACATTACCTTTGCAACCCATCAAGCTGGAAATGCTTGGGGAGTTGTTGTCATAGTCTCAGAGGAACTGGGTGGTTGGTGATTTGGAACCTCCCTGATTTCAAAACCAAAAAGAAAAGAAACACATGGAAGCTTGGCAAAAAAAACACACATCAGATTCGCATTTTCTTGAAGATTTGAACCACCTATTTAGCACCAGATCTTGTCCTACATGGCCGATATCGAACATTCCAAGAGGTATATTTTTACAAAGCTTGAAGAACCAAAAAGGCCCACTAGGCCCAGGCCCACTAGGCCCACTAGGCACTATTTATTGGGATAGCCATGGAAAATAGTGCCTGAGTTCGATGATTTTTTTTCCTTCTGCCCATTAAATCCTGGTGGATTTTCCAGCTTGCCATGGTTGATGATCGTATACTGACCACACTATCCCCATGATATCCCCATGATATACCCTCTGGTTATTTAACATAGCCATGGAAAATGGCCCATTTATAGATGGTTTACCCATTAAAACTGGTGATTTTCCATGGCTATGTTAGTTTACCAGAGGGTACCCATAAAATACCAGTCCCCATGATATCCCCATTCTTATGGTCAAAGCTCCAGTTGATTTCACCCATTTTTTGCGAAAATCTTCGAAAAGTCGAGGCGTCCGTGGCGGACGCCTCAACGGTCTCTGCCAGCACCATTAAAGCGGGCACAGGTTCGGCCTGGGAAGTGGGACATGCACTCTCAAATTGAGGATATTGAGATATTGAGGATATTGAGGATCAAGGACATTGCAAATCCGTTCTTTAGGTTTTAACATGTTTTAACCCAAGATCAATTATATAGTCGCCTTTCTTCTTGGGAAAATGATGATGATCATGCATTGGAATCAGAGGTAGCCGGTTTTCACACAAAGCCCTATTGTTTGGCACAGCGGTTTGAAGCCACAGAAATCTTCTCCCGATTCAGGTGCTTTTGGAGGCGTGTGCCTGATAGCTAGCCAGGCACAGTTGGTGAAAGACCCAACTTTCGAGGGTCAAGAAAGTTGGTGTAGCTGGATTTTTCGGCTCTTTTTGTTGTAATAAGCCAGCGTTGAAAACTGATTTGCGGATGTTCATCTTGAAACCATTAAAGAAAACAGTGCATATCTACTATATACATAGCTTTACATAGTTTCTACATAGCTTCTACATAGTTTCTACATAGCTTCTACATAGTTTCTACATAGTTTCTACATAGTTTCTACATAACTTTTATTAATATATAATGTACAGTACTATACACACAATTATACACATACATATTTATCCATCATCCATGGTGATTTCCCCAATTTTTTCCATGTCGGTTTCACCAGACGACAGGCGGTGACGGCCACAACGTCCGAGACGATGAGCTTCACCGGATGCAGTTTGGTGTGAAGACTCAATGGAAACAAACCCTGGATGAGACCTGACTGGTGATCGGGTTTTCAAGTGTTTGGTTAAAGGTGCCCCATCTGAAAGATATATATATATATATAAAAGTGGTGGGTCATGGTGGGTCAACCCCATGAAAATCGTGAAAAATGGGTGAACTGACGATTAGATGATCGTGTACCAGTTGCTAAGGAGAGATCTCTTACTGGGTGAACTAGCTATGCATGGGTTGATTTGTTTTCGTTTTAGAATCAGGAACCCATAGAGATGGATGACATTCAACTATATTCTGGTTGGTGGTTTGGAACATGGCTTTTATTTTCCAAAAATATATGGGATAATCCTTCCTATTGACTTTCATATTTTTCAAGATGGTTAAAACCACCAACCAGTATTGAAGCCATCTACTTATCCACTCTGGATGATTCTGACGACATTGGACCACTTCGTAAATAGATGGCCGTCCCACAGAATAAAGAACCCAAATCGATCAAGAGATTTTAGGATGTTGTGATGCATACGTCCCACATGTTTCCACGAAATTGCCACTTTTTTTTTGAAGATGTTGATCCGTAACTTGGCGCTTGGCCTTGCTTAGGTCATGGAAACCACCTACAAAGCCTTCATCTATGTCGAGGCTGACTCTGTTGCGTCAAAATCGGGGTCTCACATGTGGCTTCCACAAGAAATCGGATTAGTTGCAGTTGTTGGGCCGAAAGTTGGTGGATTGGTGGTTTCAGATTCATGGATTTCTAAATGTCCTGCCCGTCTGCGACGGGTCAAGCACTTCCATGAATCAGTACATCCCATCATATCCCAGTGATACGTGATACGTCTAGACAAATTACAACGACCTTACTAAAGACATCACTGGAATGATGAGAATTGGATTCCTATTGGCAACTATCCTTATTTCAGCTTGGTGAATCACATTGAATTACTATAGTTTGATACGTTTCATGTCCTGCTTTCATTGGCAAAGTGCCCGATTCTCCGGAGAGGTTCGCAAAGCTTTCGATCTTTTTTCTCGATTCATTGATCGTGTTCAAAGCCAATTCTATAATTTTGTGATATGTCACTGAACCTTCTTCTGACACCTCAATGGACGATTTTTACATCTTGAAAAACATGTTTCAATTCAAGGTGACCACAAAAATCAACTGCTAATGGTCACAAAAAGGAGGGTTCTGTAGTGATTATTTGACTTAACCAACCAGTAATACTTATGGGTTCATCAGTAAAGATTGATTCAAGAAGACTTATTTTCAATGACTTAATACTCATTAGTTAAGACTCACTACTGAATCAACGATCATTAGTCCCTAACATCAATAATCATGGATTAATGACTATTCAGTACCTTTCATCACTCATGGATTATTAATGATAAGGACGTTTTATTCATAATCAATCATTAGTCACTTCGATCATCCATAATCATGGTTTTCACTAGTCATGGTTATTTAATGGTTACTTGATGGGTACTATTAATGTTTAGTAGAATGTTTTTTTTGCTATGAAATGTTTACTACCCTTTCATTTCACTACATTTCCTCTACATTTTCCATGGTTTTATCATTGATATATATGATATATGAATGGTTTCACTACATTTCCAGTGCATTTCCAGTACATTTCCACTACATTTCCAGTACATTTCCACTACATTTCCACTACATTTCCACTACATTTCCAGTGCATTTCCAGTACATTTCCACTACATTTCCAGTACATTTCCACTACATTTCCACTACATTTCCAGTGCATTTCCAGTACATTTCCACTACATTTCCACTACATTTCCAGTACATTTCCACTACATTTCCACTACATTTCCACTACATTTCCACTACATTTCCACTACATTTCCACTACATTTCCACTACATTTCCAGTACATTTCCAGTACATTTCCACTACATTTCCAGTACATTTCCACTACATTTCCACTACATTTCCACTACATTTCCAGTGCATTTCCAGTACATTTCCACTACATTTCCAGTACATTTCCATTACATTTCCACTACATTTCCACTACATTTCCAGTGCATTTCCAGTACATTTCCACTACATTTCCACTACATTTCCACTACATTTCCACTACATTTCCACTACATTTCCAGTACATTTCCACTACATTTCCACTACATTTCCACTACATTTCCACTACATTTCCACTACATTTCCACTACATTTCCACTACATTTCCACTACATTTCCACTACATTTCCACTTATCAACTGGTAGGGAGTCAGTTGTAGTCAAGACACTCGAAGTTCTGGACCAAGAAGTAGTTGCAAGTGCAGGCAAACGAAGTCCCTTTTGCACACGCGTAGCCGTTGGGGCTTTGCTAAGATCCCACCCTCTGGATGGTTGAAAGAAAATGGCCACAGGTAAAATGTGTGGCAGCTCTGGTTGAAACTGACATGCGAAAGCAAATGGTAAATGACATGAGTGCATGGAGTGCATTCGACACAGGGGCAATATTAGCCGGCACTCACATCAGAACATCAATGAATTACAGTTTGGACGTAGTTCAATCGTCCTCCATGCTGCCTAAAATATTCTTCACAGTCTTGCCAAAAGGTTGTGCCAGTGTCTGGGTGTACCTCATATGGCGGCAAACTCGCTAGGCAGAAAGAACAAGCGTACCGCTCTTCAACTTGATTGGCATTGTTCAATCCGTTGCAGTCGTGGCGATGGTGCCAGCATCTTCCAGTTACAGCGAAATAAATCCTGACTTGATTCAAATTTCGTGTCTCATCCAGAATGCGGTCCAAAAGACCAACTGCAGTACGAATAGATCTTTGATCTTGTGTTCTTTCTTGCTCTCTGATTGCAGCATGATCATCAATGACAAACTGTTGATCGACCAATCGACCTTGGGCAGCTATCAGCTCGGCACGCAGTCGACGGATCTCCGTCTGTTGGTCAGTGATTTGCGCATTGATGTCGATGACACGCTGTTGAAGCTGTATGTTTTCAGCTTGCTGTTCCGCATGGTCCACACGTAGCTGGGCATGCCCGTCCCTTCGGGAGGCAACTAGTTCCTTCAGCAGTCGTACGACGACGCAGGTCAAGCCAAAACCAAAAGTACACAGCAGGAAAACGCCAAAGGCCAGAAAAGGATAAATGTCATCTGTCTCTGAAAACTCAATGGGTGCATCTTCCAAACTGCATTGATTTCCAGAAAAGAGGTCTGATGCAGCTGTGCTCTGCACCATGGTCACCAGCAAAACGTAGCGCAGCAACAAAGAGCCGCCGCCATGGCTTGCATAGGTCTCGACAGGGGCCTGGAAATTCTCATGGTCAAAGTTCTCTTCAAAAGCTGTGTCATTCTGTGAGTGCTGGTCATTCACAAAAGCTTCGGGGGTTCAGTCTCAAAGGCCTCGACATGGGGCTCTAGGTTCTCAGTCATGTCGAGCTCTTCAGTGATCTTCTCAAAAGTGCTATTCTTTGCTCCAACATTCACTGCATGAGTTGTGGTTGTGTTGTGTTGTGAGTTGGTGTTGTTGAGTTGTTTCGAAAACTGATTTCTGCTCTCTGCTCTTTCTTGTGCTGATTTCTTCTTTGAAGCCTGGTACGTAGGATCCCAGGTGTATTTGATTGAGCCGTGCCTAAGTCGGTCTGGAAGAAGCTGACGTGCGGACATCTTTGTCAGCCCATCGCCAAACTGGCGTTCTGATGAAATCCATTTCAGGGTTCCACCAATGCATTCGACTTGTTCTCGGATGACACGTAGTTCCAAGTTGGTGCGCTTGTCAGTCGCTCCATGGTTGATGGCATCTCGATGGAAGGAGTCAAACAGGGCCTTCGCATCTGTGACAAAAATTGGAGCCAGCGTAGGATTCTTCACATCCAAAGTTTCTCTAATAGAGTCATATGGATTGAAAATCAAATGCCAGAAGCGCACAACGAACTCTGTGGTGTCAACTGCCTGAGCAGCCGATTGAACTTCAGCAGCTAAGCTCGAACGAGCCACCCTGGGTAAACGAAAACTCTTCCAATCCAAAACATGGTATGGACATTCCACCCCATCAAAAGCATCCTTGTGAGTCAGCAAAACAATGAAACCACCCTGGCTGGAGCCGTCGTGACGCACGCAAAGTGCTGCGTCAAACATGCAACTCAGACGCAAGTCTTTGAGTTCACCAAGCGGGTTGAACTTCAGGTGGACATCACTGTTGGCCTTGCTAAACTTGAGGAGCTTGTTTGCTTCAAGCAAGGGTGCAGAAAGTCCAGTGCTCATCTCGCCTGACAGCAAGCTGGTTGAAGCTTGGATATGTGGAGAGCTCTGTATCGCTGGCCATTGAAGGCTTCCAAGTAGGCCTCTCAACATTGTTTGCTCCTTGTCGGACATGGGTTGGTGTGATTGACGGCCCCGCTCAACGGGAATTGGTTGAACTTTTCGAAGATATTCATCATGACTCACATGCCATGTGCCGTCAGAATCACGTGTCATCTTGGCACCGCAGTATTCAAAGGGTTCATCTTTCTGCCAAGTGCGGAAGTTGAAAGACTCTTTGAGTTGTTTTTCAGCATTCAAATAAGTCTCGGACTTGGTATCACCGCATCCCAACATGTCGTCAACATGCAAACATAGAAGGCCACATAGTTTGGTAGCTGAGCCGCCAGCTTCGTCTGGTTCATAAAGAAGCCAAAAACAAGGATCCATAGGGTGAGGCACCCACTGCAGTTGACGAAGTCTGCGGGTCGCCTCAAGGAACCATCTCTTTGGTGCGTCAAGCTGGCCATAAACAGGCTTGTATAAAAACATCCTGGTGTCGGCATCGCCTCCAAGAATTCTGAGGGCGTCGGCTGGTAACTTCACCCACAATCGCCTCTCCTGTGGAAGTCCTTGAAGAAATGCTGTTGAAACATCAGCGCTCCAGCCGCACCAACCAAGGATTGCAGAGATGGAAAGCAAGCATGCTCTGCCCAACCTTGTCGAGGCTGGAGATGCAGTGTCTAGCTCTCCTGCTAAGGCATCGGCATCAGCATAGCCACGCACGACAAGTCTCGCCTTTGCACGTGGC